CAAGTTATTTTATCTCTTAAGCCATAGTTTAATTATGGAGATAATTTCCATCTTGTAGGGCTGTGCCGAGGATTAATGATGATGCAGCTAAAGCACGTCACACATAATACATGTTCTCTAAGTAGCAGCTCGGCCAACTATAACTGCCAAGCAGACCAATACATGTGTTAGGACAAGGTACCCTCTCTTCAGGGCAGCCCTCAAGACAACTTGACACTTTGGGCTCCCACTTTTCTAGAGTCTATGCAGACACCGTTTCCTGACAGTCATAGTTTCTTCCTTCAGGTGGCTTCTCCCCTCACCCCCCACTCCCCCCAGAAAAACCTAATGAATATTTAATCTCACACATATTATACGCCTATCTTCTCTGTTCTGATCAAGGTTTCAATAGATGGATCCTGATCAAGAAGGGGGGTGGGATGTGAACAGAATTTAAAATCCTTTTTTTTAGTAATGTTTATTAAGGACTTAGTATATGCCAGCCACTGTCGTAAGCTCTTCAGAATTATAAACTCAACTAATCTTCATAACAACCCTATGAGGTAGTAGTATTACACCTATTTTATGGATGAGAAAACTGAGACACAGAGAGATTAAGTAACCTGCTCCAGGGCACACAGTGAGTAAATGGCATAACAAAGTCAGGATTGTTTCCCCCTTTTTATTGTGCTTTAGGTGAAAGTTTACAGCTCAAGTTAATTTCTCATACAAAGATTTATACATACGTTGTTTTGTGACATTAGTTGCAAAAAAATAAAATTCTTATGGAATCCAGACTTCCTGGACCTATTGAGACTGGAGGAACCCCTCAATCTACTGCCTGAAGATAAACTTTAAAACTTCAACTATAATTACCCCCTGAAGTCATCTTTAAACCAAACAACAGTTTAGCTCAATAAGTAAAGCATGTTTGCGTTGAGCATTGCAGTCTTTTAAAGAATTATCTATATGAGATCAAATTGACGACAGTAACTCTAGTGCATGAACGAACAGTTTAGGAGGCAGTGAGTCTAAGTTAATGGTGGTGAAATAACTTGGGAAGAGATGGCTAGAATGGTGACACAACATGAAGAATGTAACCAATGTCACTGAATT